AATCAGACAAAGTTCTGCAAATCACATTGTATTTGTTTATGTTGAGATTCTGCTGCAGATTTTAACAGTGAATCATCACATTTCCGTAAAATCAGCGTTACACCAGCGTGATGTTTCCTGATGTTTTTGGCCACGCTGTTGACAAACCACTTGTCATTTTCCAGCTCCCTCTGACAGACTCTTGGCCTTGTAAACACATCGCACAGTCTGAAAGATCCTCATCGACAGCTTGTACAGACACAACCGCATTAATTAGAGAGTTGCATCCCTCCCAAAACAGAGGGAAGGTGCACAGGCCCTGGATCTAATCAGAGAGCGAGGAGGTCTGTGCCTCATTCTTTACAGATGGTGGTGAAGGAAGATTCCGAAAATCCAGCTGAGATTATGTGAAAAAAAAAAGTACCTGAACCACAAAATGTAGCTGCAAAAGAGACATCACACGTATGTCAGATGTTGTAGATTTTCTCAAATGAGTTTCTGATGTCGACTGCGGTTGCTTGAATCTTCTCCAGCGCCATGCAGTGTCAAAACTTTTGGGTGAAATATGAAACTGATAGAAATCAGTTAAACATCTCATCCCTTGTTATCCTTTTGGTATTAACTGGTCAGAGAACAGCTCCACGTTGGCAATCATGAGGAATATCTCAGGATTTCTGGCTCAGGGGCATTGAAAATGTTGAAACTGTTGCTTCTTGCTGCCATTTCTGAAGCCAGCAAGGGAAGTTAGATGGCTTTAAGTGCAACAGCAACTCCTACAGGAAAGGAGAAACATTTAAAGATAGAGCTGCTAGAGCTTACAGATGTTTTATATTTTTTTTACTTTTGTTTGGTGATGCCCAATTGTAGATTGTCGACTGTGCTTTCCATCTACAAATAGCACATTCTAGATTTATTTTTGTGTCAAATTACCAGTGCAGCTTTGAAGTAGGTGTTTATTCTGAAAGTTTAAAGGTCCCATATTTTAGCCTTTTATTTGAAGTGTTCCATAAGAAGATATATTTGTGGTTTTAAGACCCAAAAACAGTCTCAGTGTAGTTTTAAATCTTCTCTCTCAGGCTTCTCTCTGGAGCTCTAGGTCAGGAACAGGTCGAGAAACAGGTGAGAAAACTCTCAGGTGTTTTCTGAGTGTTCCAATAAAAATATATTAGATTTCAGGTAAACAAACAGAGACTAAATCCTGCAAGGTTGGATGGTGGGTCCAGGTGGGCGGGGCTTGAGGACGATGACTGCTTTGTTGTGACATCACAAAGTTACAGTCCTGACGGCTTGTTTTAGGGCTCAGTTTCTGAATACAGGCTGTGTGCATTTCTCTGTGGACTGAGCACTTTGATTCTTTTACAGTATTAATACAGAACCTAGACCTGCTTTATAATCAAACAACACATGGACAGCTACCTTTACACTATATGGGACCTTTAAGGTTTAGGTGGCAGAGCGTCAGTGAGTGCTGCTGCTCTCTGATGACAGCTGCCTAAACAAAGAAAGAAAAGGAAGACGTTAGTTAGGGAGGAAGATAGGCATGGAAGGGCGTGTGGGAAGAGGAAGGAGGAGGAAGAAAGGTGTGATCAGGATAATTACAGTGAGTGTAGATTACTGTCTGTAAACTCTACCCTCCTCTTCTCTTGCTGTCTGTGTCCTGTCTCCTACTTTTTCTTCTTCTTTTACTGTAAATCCCTCCCTTATTTCATTTCGTCAGGGAGCTGAAACTGAAATCATCTCACATCACTCATCTCGATTTACTCCGGTGGTGAATTAAGTCTAATTGAGTCTAAATCCTGCACAAACTGACCTGGTTCAGAGAAACACAGTCTGTCTCAGGTTATCTAATTACAACCGGTCTGCTAAAAATAAACATGGTAGCTCATCCAGGAGAATATGATATCTAGTTTTCTGACTTTTAACTACGGTGGTCATGTGTGAAAAACAGAGTCAAAGACATGACTCAGCACTGACAGAAGTCCAAAGCAGCGAGGCTAAATGGCAGTTCAGCATATTGAGAGAACAGGTTTACCTGGAGACAGCCAAGATGGACATCAGTAAAGTAAAATGAAAACAATAGTGCTTAAAAAGACAAGGACAAACTGCATAGAAACACTGCACAGGAATGATGCAGCCTTTTATTGAGTGGAGAAAACACAAGAGATCACCCGTCGTCACTGGAGCTGGATTATGAGACACTTACCAACATCATATGGGATCTGTCTGGGACAAAATCTGGATACAAATCCAAATAGAAACCGCCTGTCGTAAATTTTCTTAAATAAAATAAAAAATACTCACAAAGAGAAGTATGAACAGGGAACCTTTTAAGCCACTGTGACAAGTTCTTGTTGTTCTCAATGTCTGGCCCGGAAAACTCTTCATTAGAGTACTGATTTTACTACTGTATGGACTTGTGACCCTTAAAAAACCAGTGTCTACTCTATGCTCTGTCACAGATTACAGAAGTTTCCTCAGTTCATCCTGAGGTTTTCCCAAATTAAAAAGCAAAAATAACCATCATTTGTGCTGCAGAAATGTGTTTTTCTTCTTCCTTGCCCTCACATTTACTAGGGATCCCTCTCCCAGATTCTGAACCACCGTCTCAGACACTGTATGTGGGACAGACCGCTGTCCTAACACAGGAAGATGAAAATACAATGATTAACATCCAGGAGTCCAAGTGACCTGAGCAGTAAATCACAGAGAGTGACGGGCTGTTGTTTTGGCTGGTTGCATAACGTGTTTGGCTCAGCAGAGGGAAGCCTCTCAGTCCAACCTCTGACAACTCCTCCCCTGTTCAGACCTGCAGGGCTGCAGGCCGCCTCCCGTCCCGCAGCCCCTCGGCCCCTCCTGGGTGAACCGGCTGCATGTGTGGAATGTGAGGCAGGTATGTGAGGATACCTCGGCTCCGGTCGAGACAGGGAAAAGACAGAAAAAGGGAGAGGGAGAGAGAGAGAGAGAGAGATTCCTTGAATTGTAACGCAGGCCAGCAGCAGATGTATCTGTTTGTACAGACTGTGGGTAACACAAAGTCCTGAATCTGGAATGTATTTCGCAAAAGCTTTACTCTTTACATGCTGCAGGTGTTTGTGTTCTGAAACATCTAGTTCTAGTTAAAGGGCCATACCACAGTTTTTGTAAGTTTGAAGCCTCATTCACACGTACAGATTCATTAAAGTGATTTGTGATCGCTGGCATCGGTCTCTGAGTGCATGTTGAGGTCAGTGTATTAATTGTAAATCATGTCAACTTTGCATGACTTCTGACCATTTTGTGAAGCCTCCAGTGAGCTGTCACGTAATCATCTTTCCATCCAGGTGGCCATTGGTTTCAGATCATTTCAGTGCACTGGGACCATACAGCGAATCTTGGTGGTGCATTCAAGGTCAACTTCAACATGTAATATTGGAGATGTATGAGCTGAGAAGTATGGCAACTGTGAGATATGACGTAGGAAAACCAAACTCAGAAATCAGTGAGCAAACAGACATTGTGACTGACTGACTTTGTACATCTTTTGGATGAAAAAAGTTTCTGTCAGACAGTTCACCCTGAAATCTGGGGTTTCAGAGCCTCCTCAAACACACCAACAAGGAAGAAGTTTCCAAAATGGCTTCCAAAAACTCCATTACCATGATCTGAATTACAAGTCTCGCCACAAATGCAAATTACATATAGTTTGTATTTACTATAAACTACAAATTATTTGAAAATTAAAACAGGCTTCTTAATAAATTGTGATCAAGTACACTTCTACCTGCAGAGGTGTGTCACTAGTTCAGTCTCCAATAAAGGTCTGTGTCTTTGTAGTTGAGGTAAATAAAGGCACTATTTGATCCTTTATGGTAATGTACTGCTGCGCCCAAAACCACCAGTAAGGTCTTCTAAGTTCAAACCAACTCACTTTCAAATCAGGATTTTTATTTTTTTTTCCCAGACCGTGCACACAGACACACACACATCCATCAGACCACACCCTCCTGTTTTGAGAAGCACTGAGGAAGAATTTCCATGGACGTTGATCCAGACCTCTGCTGCTGACTCCGGGCCCCACCGCTGTCTGCCTTTAATCCTGAGCTCCCTCCACCGGCCTCAATGCGCTGCTTGTCCGTTTGAATCGAGTCAGTAGTGCTGCAGTGGGAGCCCTTTGAAATGCTTCTCTAAGAGAGTGATAATGGACTCGGTTAATGTGGTTTTATAAAGAAAGATCCTCAGATCAGACGAGCAGGCAGAAATGTAAAGCAGCAGCAGCTTGATGAGTGTTTCGTGTTGGAGATTAGTGTCTGGATTCATACCTTGTTTTACCTGCTCCAACATGTCTCACACACACCTGCAGGGAGAGGAGGGGGTGCATAACACACACACACACACACACACACACACACACAGGTGTCCTTCTTTTGCTCCACCCTGCCTTCAAAAAATACCAGAGGCAAAATAGTCAATTGACAGTTCAGTGACTGTTTTACAAGCAATGGCAGAAAGACGTTAGTGTGGTTTGTACACATGCTAACACACACACACACACACACACTCACATACACACACCTAGTGAAGCGTCTGTTTTGGAGCATGCTGAAACAGATCACTCTTTCATGCTGAACCAGGCAGTCTGTGTGTACCTTTGCTCCCCACTGGTGTTTACCTCCTCTCTCCACTGCTGCTCTCTCTGCCACGTCAAATGACTGCCTGGGTGCTTGGCTCGCTCCTCTGGGAGCCTCACGGCCGAACAGCCCGTCTGACTGTGGTCACTCTGCTCTGGCTTTGAGGAGCGAGAAACAACTGGCTCAAAGCTTCAGACCAACTCAGAACTTTTGATTTTTTTTTTTTTTTTTTTTTTTTCTGGCTGGTATTTTGGAGTCTGACTGTGCGCTGGAGCTCTACTGGCAGTTGGGAAATAAATGGATGTGTTCAGGTCTGTGGAGGCAGTCAGACTGAGGACTCACCTGACGGTTGAGAAGACACTGGGGGAGCAGCTGTTGGAGCTGCTTTGAATCTGAAGTGTCTTTTTTTTTATTATCCGTGCAGCTGAAAAATGAGTGGATTTCTCTATAGGGGAAGGTAAGGCTTTTTGGATGTTAACAGCTCTTGTGATGAGTCATGGGGTCGTTTGGTGAATGTGTGTGGTTTGTGAACTGCGGTTGCCTTTGTGTGTGTGGGTGTGCATTCATGAATGTAATGTGAATAGAAAAGCCTCTCCTCTGCAGTGAATACAGATAAATACAGTTAAAAGACTTCACTTAATAGTAGGAAATAGGACCTTTGTGCCAGTGTTACATAAGAACCCACGAAGCCTTGACTCCCACAAGTGGAATACCTGCATGGTAGGCAGCTATTGGCTGAGCTAATATGCACTCATTTCAAAGCAAAAGCCTGAGTTGGCTGCTCTCGTTTTAACCTCTTCAAGCCTGTCAGTTTTATCTGATTTATCAGACGCAAAAAAGGCATTTAAACACATCTACCTACAGGTCAGTGTGACATACAGTATTAGTGCAGTGTAAACTAAACTGGGTGGGTTTGAACAAGCTGTGCCTGAACAGCATGGGTTTGTCATCACTTACCCTCAAAGCTGATCAGCTAAGTTTAAGCAGTTGATAACCTATATTAAGTGATATCTAGAATTTCGTTTAGATGTAAAAGTGCAGCCATTTAAAATATCCTTTTTGGGTTTTAATAGAATTCTGCAGGAATGAATCCTAAAACCTGGAAATAAACTAGCATTTTAGCACTTTCAGTTCCCTTGTCCTGAAGTCTCGGGGTTAGTTGAAGGAGGTTTTGGTTAGATGACTGAAATAAGGTCTTAACACAAGCTCAAGACATTTTTAGGTTTTATTCTATGACATAAAATATGTCAGTAAATACCCCAGTTGTGATTTATTTAAGCTTTTATGTGTGTTAAAAAAGGCCGGTTGCTAACCAGAGGCTAAATGACGTTACACAGGTTGTCGGGGACGTTACACATCATCACACTGAAAACGAAAACCGATCTACTCACCATGCAGTCCCTCTTTACGACCTCATTGTGTTTGTACCCGCGCTCTTGCAAACTGTTACTAACTGTGTAAGAGGAAAGGCTTTTGTCGCAGAGGTCAGAACTCAATCAAACTACAAGTTGAAAGTTTCGCGTAACATTAGCTTTTTACTTCTGCTGATTGTATTTATCCTTCAAAAATCATAAAATGGTGTTAATCTGTGAAGATTATCCCCCTGAACAAAATGTGTCAGTATCATAAACATAAGTTTGTCACAGAGTTTATTTTCTGCATTGATCCAAAAGCCAATGTTAAAATCCCATTGGCCTTTTGTTGAAGGAACCAGTGTGATGCTAACTTCCTGGTTGGCCTACACAAATATGTCACCCCTGCATGTCAGTCAGTGTACAGTATCATCAGTCATCATATATTTTTGTCTGAATAATTACTTGCATAATTGGTCAATTAGTCTCTAAATATCAACAATAATTACAAATGACCATTAAAAGTTTCCAGAACTGGAGCATGACTCTTCGCAGCACAGTAACAGTTGGCTGTTGATCATCTGTGGCGTGTCCCATAAATACTTTTTGGACATCTTTTTTTTTTTGCCTAATTCAAGAGTCAACAGTCGAGCAATATAAAACAAAGGGCCTTGGCTGGAGGGAATTTGAGGGACGTTGCAGCTCATGGTTGGTCGAGCAGGACAGGGCAGGACACACTGAGCATGGCTGCTTTTTTATTTAATGCCTCTGTTTTTCTTCTTCTACAATCAGAAGACCACAATGTCAGGGGAAAGTAAAATAAAAGTTTACAATCCCTTTTTTTAGGCGTTTTTTAAATTGGTTTTTCAAACATATGCTCAAACAGTTTAATTCAAGTTTAATTGGCTAGTTTACTTGTTTGCTTCCCCATGGTCTTTTTTTTTTATTTTTAGATATGAAGCACAGACAACTGGTCAGTTGTTTGTTTTTGGTGTGTTCAGTTGCAGCTTTTACTAGTAAACAAACAGCACCCTGACCGTTGCTTTTTTTTCTTGCTAACAGCTGAAACACCCGAAGGCATGCAGCGCACTCAATCAAGCTAGTCTTTGTTTTAGAAGCCTTAAGGCATCACTGAATGAATTCTAAGTCGACTAACCACCTACTCTAGATGTAATGTCGGAGTAATTCAGGTATGACTTTAAATACCGTCTGAAGAAAATCTGTTCATAATTGATTTATCACCCGTATCTACTAATCACAGTGTTGGCATATAATATGTCTTCACACATGTGTGCCTCCCCCTGTGGAGTTTATGAAGTGTCATCTCTGAATCTGTGGCCCAGGTTTGGGGTGTGTTGCAACCGTTAGTTGCATCAGTTGAAATGTCGAAACATCAGTTAACAGGGAGCAGATTTGCATCGGTTTGATGACGAGCGCCGACACATGAGAGCACAAATGTTGTTCTCACGCGAAACAACAGCTCCAGCCTGTTGACGAGTGTTCTGGTGGCCCGCTGCCACACAGCTGCTGCTGAGGAGGCCTTCACTGTGTCATCTACTCAGCATCTATTGTCACACATTCACCTCACATCTCCTGCAGCTCTGTCTGCTCCACCAGCTGTCCTCGCCTGCACGTCTCATGTGTTCCAGGCAAGCATGGAGGTCACCGTAGCCCCGACTGGCACACACTCGCGCCTAGGTGGTCGAGATGCTGTAAAACACGCTGATTCCACTGAAAGCCTTTGATTCCCAGCTCCATTCAGAGACAATGTGTTGGGCTCATTACATTCTCACCCTGATGTGAAAGCGCCCTCGTCTGCCTGATCCTCACTTTAGCTAATAAGCGAGGCCTTTACAGCTCGGTGCGATCGGCTTTGACTTAATCTCTCCAATTGATTATTCATGAAAGACTCAGATGATGTGCTAATGGGGGAGAAAAAAATCAAGCCCACGTTCCTCTGATGCCACTTTGAAATAGTGGATAAGTGAATCTCAGGAGCCACAACAGCTGTTTTTTGTTCTGTTAAAGGCAAAAAAGTATTTCTTAAAAAAAAGAAAAAACTTCACTTTATTAACCAATGAAATCTCTTTATTGCTGCTAACAGTCTTTATTATAAATACTCCCTCAGGGTTTCCTCTGTTAATATAGTCTTGACCAGCCGGTGGAAGGATTTCATGGATTCTTCCACTTTGTCTTTGTTTACTGTGTCTCCAGCGGTGAGTGATGGCTGTGTGACTTAAAGCATGCGCTGACTCAGTTTCCACCACCAGTGTGTGAGTGTGCCTCCTGTCTCTGACATGTCAGTGGGAAGCTACCCCCCCCCTCCTCCCCTCCACACCTCTCCATCCAGCTCTGCTCATTCTGGACTATTTTTGACCCTCTGTGCTTTGGAGAATTAACCACCATTTTTCAGTGGCACATGAAGCAGGCAGGATGCCAGCAGGTTGGATATATGTAGGTGGAAAAAATAGTTAATCACCATGAACCTGGAGAAACAGGTTTCAGTGCAGGGATAAACATCAGCGTGTGTGCGGTTGCTGCTGTGGACACATGGGACAGTGTTAAGACTGAGGGTGCTGGGCTGATCGCTGTCTCTTGTTTCAGGCACTGCGGTGCAGAGAAACGGGCCAGGCCAAGGAGCATCGGACCTATGATGGGTGAGTACCTCCTTGTCTTATTCTTCCTGTTTATCAGGAGTGTTTTCCACCTAACTGCAAGGTAAACACTTCATTACAACATTTATCACCCTTGGTCTGATACAAGCTCCTGTGTTGACTAATTGGCTATTTGTAGGAGCTACAGTGTGTTGCAACTATGACTCTATGAATGACTGAGTGTGTCAGTAACACACACCACCCCTTTTCTTTTATAGGTGTGTGTGTGTTCTTACACTTCTCTTTTTGTGAGTGTCTTTAAACCTTGACAGTGAGAATTTATGAGTGAGATTTATAAAGTGAATATTTTCACATTTCAGCCGTGAGCTTTGAGGTAAAATTAGTCATGATTTTCTTTTGGTAGTGCCTAATTTTACTCGTCTGGTAAATGTCTTATAATTTCCTCTGACATTTCCTTGAAAGAACGATGTGACTCGGTCCCAATAACAGGGCAAGTAAGGACAAGACTCTGGCAGGAGGGTAAGAACTTGTTTGTCTGAGTTTTTAAGGAAAGACCCACAAAAATGTAAAGCAGTTCCATAGTTATGTGGGCTGTAAGTAGATTTCCAGAGGAATTTACATAAAATAACTCCCAAAATCTTAACGACTGTTGAACACTGACAGAAATCAGATAAAACCCATGTAAATATTTGTATTTGTATATTTGTTTAATTGTATGCTTTGCTGTAGAGAAATTTTAAATATTTGAATGTTGATCGGACCTGCTGTGCACTGTTATGATGGAAAATAATTGGAATCAATCAATCAAATTTCTCTTTGAGGAGTACCAAATTTTAAAGCCCTTTCCAGGAACAACTTGAAAGAAAAACTAAAAGAAATAATCCAGTCTCTTTCTAAGAAATTATTAGGATTTCGAAGGACATACTTACGTATATATAATTACGTATATAGGAGTATGTCTATTTAATGACAATACAAATGGTAGAAACAAGACATTGTCAATTGTGTACCAGGCGTTTTTCACATTCATATGAAATATTTAATTTGCTGATTTGTGACAATGTAGTTTTCAAAAAAAGAAATAGTTTAACATGTTAGCTTAGCATAAAGTATGAAAGTAAAGGGAAACAGCTAGCCTGCCTCCATCCAGAAACTTTCTTACCTTTTAACCTGGGTTTTATTTTCCTGATAACATTAAAACTTTCCAGCTTCATTGCACAGAACATGCCAGTGAGGGTGTTTGTGTAGTTGTAGCAGTGCATCATTCCTATCAGTGTTGTGTAATATTTTGTACCCTGGCCTGCTGCAGGCGCTGCAGTAGTTAACATCTCAGGCCCTGATCCAGAATACCTTCCACCTTCATGCAACAGAGCAGCTCTTTAATAATATTTAATGTGCTGCAATTTTAAAGAACCGTCAGAAATCTGAATTCTGCCAAGCCATCTTAATTACACCCCTCTGGACCTGGCCCTCCACCACCCCCACCCCTGTATACTGCAAACTGATTGGCCCTGCTTTTAAAGGAATAAAACCTGAACTATTGTCCAAATCCCTCCTGTATGGAGTTTTCTGGGAATGCTCCTGGCCCTCTGGAGAGGAGAAGTTTGGCTTTGAGACGTCTTGAGGCCTCTGGAAGCGTTTCAGCTGGATGAGAATGTACTGTGGCGGTGCTGTGTGTGGACACGGCTCATATATATCCAGGTTTAATAGGGTTATAATGAGGCGAGGGTTGATCAGGACGTCTCTGAGATGCTGCTCAGAAAAGCCTGGAGGTGTTTAGACTTCAGCCCCGTACTGTTAGACCGATGATCTTCAGTAACACTGGAACATTTTTAATGTGGGAGGGTTTTCAAACAAAGCTGTTGACAGATGAAGTGCATTTACTTGCAACACCAGTCCACTACACCAGTCTCTTAGGTGTTTAAGCTGCTCTGAAGATGCTCTTGTTCTTCAAATAAACAAAACAATCCCCACTCAAGGTCCACTTCTTTGCTTTCAAGCATATCAGATGGTCTTCATCAGCAGGTATAATTTGGACTGAACTGTCACACTCAAATTTAAGTAAACGTTCATGATAAATCTGTGGTCAGAATAAATGATGGTTTCTACAGTTCCACGACAAATGAGCGAAGTCCATCTGTGATACAGTTGAAAGCCCCAGAACAAATGAGTTAATGGACCTTGAGTGGAGATTGTTTTGCCAACTGGTGTCTCCAAGCTCAAAATAAACTTGGTTTTGAAACATCTTAATAAATCTGGATCTGAATGTCTTTATGGCACCTTTGACTTGATTTATTTGAACTCTGTTGGTTCTCCATTTTCAGGCTCCTCCATTGTCAGAGATTGGCTCAGATACAGTAACAGCATCCCTGTTACAGGGATTACAAAGGGATTTGTGGCCGTTTTCCAATGCAAGAATTTAAGGAAACATGACATGTAGCCATTGTTAGCATTAGCATTCCGCTTTTGTTATCTGTCCACTTCAGGGAAGAGCTTGGTGCAGTTTAGGAGGTTATACTCAATACAAACTCCACGTACTTTCAGATTATGATTGGTCAAGCAAATGTGTCAACAGATACAACAGTAACAACCATTTTGCCAGTTGCTAGTTGCTAATGTACCTTTCACTTCTTCCACTGTTACAGTTTCAATGTGATTTACCTATATTGTCCTCTTAGTGTCCGCCAAAAGCCAGATCAGAAAAACTGGAAACTGATACACTCCTCTACAGTATGTCGTTACCATATGCTTGCAGCAGTGAAGTTGCTTTACTGACCTTTCTGTTGCCTCTTAGGCTGTAAACAGGCTGCACTAATAACCCTCTAATTGGTTGCTCTTAGTTGGGACAATCTGAAGAACCGCCTCTTTCATCCTAAGGTGTTATTCACCACTAGATTGGTTTAAATGCAGGTTTTCTGTTTATTTCTTTCCTCCAAATTCTTGATAATGTAAAGAACAATGGAGAACACTTGTTGGACAAACTGAGATGTCTAGGTATTATTTAGTATTTGTGGACAGGGGAACAATCAGATGGTGCTGGAGTGGAACAGAAGGAACCAGAGGGTTTCTCAGTGTCATGAATAATTGGGTATATATACCCACCAAACAGCACATAATTATGACAGAGACAAGTCCCCCTTTTTTATTGATGTATATCTGGCCCTAGTTTGCAAAATACAATTAAATGAAAAAGCAGCTTTTGTGTAAAAACCACAAACTTTCTAAAACTTCAGGTTTTGGGAAGGTCAAGGTTAAATGTTGGTAAAAGCGTTCCTTTCTAAAGTTTAAAGTTGAATTTTGCTTATTTACGTGTTTCTTTTTCTATCTGTGCAGATTTCTCATGTGATGAAACAGATAAAGGCCCACCAGTACAGATGCACAGCCTCAGAGAGTTTGAACAGGTAAGAACTTATGCTCTGACACAAGCTGTGTTCTCATGGTTTGGCTCACATGATACAAGCTGTACGGTAAAGTCTCCCTTAAAGAGTGGGATGCTTACTGTTGTGACAAGAAGAGCTGGCTGATCTTCTAGTGGTGTTGGAAAATTACTGATGGAGGTCAGCTAATGTTGGTGTAGTGCTGTGTCTCAGCTGTGTCCAGGCTTGCCTCTGCTACGTGGAAATGACTGTGTAAGGTGTGTTTGGGAAGATGACGTGGCAACTGAAGGACTGCATGCGTCAAAGAGTTTCCTCCTCTCCTCTGTCCTCATCATTCTGTCTCTCATACAAACCATAGTGCTATTTCTGTCACTGCATTCACACCTACATGGATAATAATTATGCTGCTGGTCCCGATCCAGGTCATTAAAAATTTAATATCTGATATCCATATTTCTTACACACACTAATACAGCTGCGCAGTCCACAGTAAGAGGTCTGTATTAGACCTTAAATATATGACTTACAGCTTTCATCACAGCTTTACTCCTGTAGTATTTTCTGTATTGTCCTTTGGTATTTTGTACAATATGGGTTAGATGGAGCGTGTTTTGGCGAGAAGCTTGGGACAGGATTTGGACAGCTGCTTTTCATTATTAAGTTCAGCAGTTGCAGTTTTCACCAACAGCAATTTTAGATGTGTAATTAAAGTGAGAAGATGTCAGTAAATCTTATTTAATCCAAAGTGTCTCAACTCAGATTACTCGACGGCGATTGCAGTTTGTGTGTGTTCTTGCTGCTTCCATCGCTGCGTGTTCGGAAATTGTGTTCTCATGAAGTCAAATTTTGTGTTTTGGAAAACCCAGAGTGCAACGAGTTAATTTCTATAACAATAAACATTCAACAAACAACAGGAAATGGATCGGGCAGCCAATTACATTAAAAAAAATGCTTTTAGCAGTCCTGTGGATGAACTCAGGACGTCACCATTAGGCAAATGTGGAAACATTTTGTTGCCCTACAGAAGCCCTAATAGCCCAAACTGGTGCAAAACACTTTCTAAATGGGAAACAGAATTCAACACAGGATGTTTTCCCTCTGAAAACAGAGCTTGATTCATATTCCTGACGGCTTGTACTGCTGTTTGACCCACTGTTCAGAAACATGGCCGACATCTTCCTCTGTTTCTGCTGTATTTAAAAATTGTGATTTCTTTTTAGAAGGCGCAGATTACGGTTTCTTGTAGTTACCTGCTGGCATTTATTATCCACAATCAAATTACCATTTTAATATAATGCGTTAAGAAAGATTTCCTGTTTTCTAGATTGCAGCTTTAATATGACCGTTGAGTTGATTTCCTAACAGCCTTTAACCCTGAAAGTTAGTTAGTCATATTTTTGGGCATTTTTGCCTTTATCCTGACAGGGACAGTGAGAGATAGACAGGAAGGTCAGGGAGAGAGAGAGGATGACATGCAGCAAAGGGCCGCGGGTCGGACTTTAACCCATGACCGCTGCATTCATGGCTAAGCCTATGTGGTACGCACTCCGCCAAGTGAGCCACCGAGGCGCCCCCCAGGAGAGGAAGAGATTTAAGAAGTGTTCTGCAGGTTTGTTGTCTTAGTGTAGGCAAAAACTTTAATCTGAAATTGAAAAAATACACATATGACATATGACAACTGAACGGCAATTACCATATTGTCACGAGTATCTGTGATCATGGCAAATACCCAGACACAAAGACAGAATTAAACATAAAAATGAGATGTATGACTAAATAAATGGAGCCGACATATTTTTAAAGTTGGTACAAAGCATTCTGCAGCTCAGTTCACTGTGTGTCTGAGAGGCATAGTTCTCCTCTGGTTCTGGTTCTGTGCCAGAGTAATGGATTCTGGGAGCTTTGCCAGGTGCATTGTGGGTCTGATATAACTCTGGAGGTGCTTGCTGCAATTACTCTGTTCGCCTTTTAGTGAAGGACAGAGCCATAGAGGGAGAGGGGGGTGGCTGTGATAATGTTGAATTAATGTGGAGGGTTTGGTCAAATGATGTGAAAGATGAAACTACAACAGGATGAGGATGAATCCACGTCTTCCTGCAGGACAGACTCTCTGATTGATTCTGTGTTAGAAAGCAGCAGAGAGAACAGACAGATTATTCACCTTAAGGCTGTTCTGACTTTTTAAACAGCTGGAAATTTATAGAATTAAAAGGAAATATTTTAAAGGCTTTGCATCACACCTCATTTTACATTCTTACTTTCTAAACTTTGGCACTACCTATATATACATCTTCTCTGCTCTGCATAAAAAAAGATCTGACCTGGGATCAGAGCACTCTTAGTTATATAATGCTCAGTGTAATCTGTTGTACAGCTGCAGGTCTCAGGTCTGTGTCAATATGTCTAGTAGCTGAGTGGATCCGAGGTCATGCTCTGTCAACTCTCATCATGTGGTTCTTCATCATCATCATCGTCATCATCATCATCATCATCACCACAGGAGAAAACTGTGTTTGTGCTTTGGAGAGTGTGAACTGTGAAGTGCAGGAGCTTCGTGCTGCTGTCTGGTCAATGTTCTCAGGTCAGGTTGACAGCCTTTTGGATCAGTTCTGATTGTCCTCAGGTCTTTTCAGATTGGGCCTGGTTTGTGAAAATTAATGTATGCACATTGGTCATCTTTTTCTAGACGTAGGCTACATCCATACTAAAATGTTTTAGTTTTAAAATGTCTCTTTTCTATGTTTATGCCTGGCGTCCACACTGAGGTTTTCAAGCCCCTGACATGGAGACTTTTGGAAATGCTGCTGGACCCGTCTCTGGGTTTGTGTGGAGAGACAGAAACAGAGACCTTTGGAAATGATGACATAGATCCCTTCAGTCGCTCCCTGATTGGGTCTCATTAGCCTCGACCAGTTGTGAAAGCAACATGGATAAGGAATTTCAAGAGTTACTGACCTTGTTGTCTTTGCTAGCAGCTGTTGTTCTGTTAAATTCTGCATATTTACGCTACAAATGTCTTTGCTGTTCCTCGTTCAGTATTTTGTGCAACTAAGAAACTGTAGACTGCTTCTTCCTGTTCAAACTGTTTTTGTTTGACCCCGATCCTGCAAATTTTTGTTTCAAAATAAAAATGTGTCAGTGTGGATGTAGCTGTAAAGACCTCTAGTTACAGCAGTGGTGGGGGCTGGGAACACCTCAGGGACACCTCCCACTGAGGAGCTGAGCGATGTTTAGCAGGATAAGAAAGCAGAGAAAACTACTTAAAACATTTACTCTGCTGGTGTTTTCTTTCATTCATCTCCAAAACTTTACAATTTTGTTGGTGTGTCACTAGATCATTTTACCACAAATCTATTTTTATATGACATGAAGGATCAGAACAAGATTGGCAACAGCCTTTCTCTGTATCGCTGGCTTTTTCTTTGTAGACATAAGGTCAATCTCCTGGTATATAATGCATAAACATATACACAACCTTGTTGCAGGAGAGACACAGGTTCATTTCAAGGGATTTACAAGACAAAAAGACACACACATACACACACACACACACACAGAAATTAGGACTTGTTGTGTATACAGTATGTTGTGTATCAGTAACTTTGCACACGTCTCTTTCTGAGACAGTGAGAGGGAGCAGAAATCATTTTACAGCAGCAGAGATGGCAGAGCTGAGCGTATAGTTTGTGTGTGTCTGTGTGTGTGTGTGTGGGGGGGGAGGAAAAAATATTCTCTCCAACATGTGGAAACCTGCTGTTAGCTGGTGCACTCAGCCACATGTAACTGTGCTGATTTTAAACATTTTTATGACTGACTGGTGTTTTTTTTTTAACCAGGACAGGTGTGACATGTTAATAACCAGGTGTTTATGGAGAGCGTCTCCAGCCGTGGTGACTATGTCGGTTTAAAGTTTCACATGATATTGCTACATAAAGATCATTTTATTCATTAAATAACATTCTGGGTGTAAGTTAAGTGGGTAAAAATGCAACTTAAACTGTTCTAGGAGCTTTAGAAGTAATTTCAGGGTGAAGGCGTGTTTCCTCTGAAGCTGAGGCAGAGAGCTGAACTCTTGGCTGGCTGCTTGGAGGCTATATTACAGTATGCGGCAGCTTTTCCTTTGAAGTTTTCCTATGGCTTTCCCACTCAGGGATGAGGGGATGAGTCATGCTATATGCAGACATACACAGACACCAGCCTGGGAGGCAACCTAAACACTGGCTTTGTATGGACGGACGAGGAAAAATAGGCTGAGACTGGTGATGGTGTGGATTATAGTCGATGTGTTGCAGACCTGTGAAACTGCTTTAAAGGAACAGACCAGAGTTTTCACATATTTTGAATTGCTTAAATATCTGTAAAAGAGTGCTGCAGGGGTTTCAGTTGTAAATGTGTTTAAATGTCCTTGTATTTCGTTACAGTTTCACAACCCACAGAGGCTTGATCCTGCTTCTGTAACCTCGTTCATAACAGAGATTATGTCTGAGCTTTGTTTGGTGCCAAAATTATTTTCTGGTCGTGTTGCACTGCAACTGATAAGAGACTGTCTGTGTCTGACATGTGTTCAGAGTTTCAGTGTTGAAGCAGATAGAGGAGCAGGCTCATGGCTTTGGATGGAAAATGTGTCACGCTGTTAAAATGAAAGAGTAGAGTCTCTTTGATCTGATCAATAATACTGATTTGTCAGGAGTGAAGCTTCTGTGCTTTTGGATTTGAACTTGTGCTGTGAGTTGATGTTGTAGGATACACACAGGCTAACCGACTGTCCTCCTGTAAAAAAACAGCCCACAGGTCGTTTGTGCAGCAGGCTATTATGACCCATAGTTAGGTTTTGTTGCTAGGCGACATCTAGTGGTCGTAGTAATTATGACAGGAGCAAAGGTAAAAGTGCCGTGACATAGTATAAAGAGCGACAAAGTCCAAGTTAGCAGGAGGTTGTGGTGGATGGATGAGTCAACAAAACACAGGAATATGACACAGGAGCGCGGTGTTCGATTCCCATGTGGAAGAAGCAGTTTATATTG